GAAGCATTATTTAATTAATTCTATAATAGTGCTTATGTGATGTATAAACATAGTGAAATAGACAATAGTGGAATTAGTAGAGAAATAATAACTTCAAAAGAAGTCATTTAACATTTTAATTAATATTTTAAAGTTGCTGTTTGCAAACAGTAAAATTGTCTTCGAATGCAAAGGGTTAAAAATCATTTCAGAATTTAGAAGTTCTTGTTTGAGGTCTTTATAGCTTGAAATAGGGACAATATTGCTGACAATATGCAAACAGTATATACAACTGACCATAAGAATCTTAACACTAAACCTACCGACATATAATGTGTACTTGAGTTGAAATTAAAAATGAAGTTGAAGAATAAATAAACAAACAACCACACATAAATTAGTAGACATATTTATTCTTTATCTTGATGAAAATCAAGTCTCATTTCAAGAAATGTAACAAAACGTGTAGCTTATAATAAGAAACTTGTGAAGTGGTCATTTGACCAGTTTGGTAGTTTTAGTGTTAAAAGTTCTTGTTTGAGGACTTTATAGCTTGAAATAGGGACAATATGCAAATAGTATATACAACTGACCATAAGAACAAATATTAACAGTACAGAATTCAAACAGATCAAGATCCGATTATAAATCAAAATTGTTAGACTTCCTCGCGTTATATCGCCACAGAGTTATCGCAAGGGCACAGTAACGATTACCAGTCCTCATGAATAGGAAAATTGAATGACGTTGAACAGAGTGACGGCAAAGGCCGTGTCCTTTTCGAGTTTCATGGCGATAATGAGAAGAGACGTTTCAGTTTCTCTCTGTCTATCGCGCCCTTTCAACCGGAAGTTCGTTCCACGTTTCCGACGCTCTCCACCGGTACCTCGAATCCCCCTTACTTGGCCCACGCGCGGCAAATTGTCGAAACAAACGCAGCCGTGAAAACTCGTTAGTTGTGTTGGAGAGAATGTACTCGCGGCTGGCTATAATTCCACCAGGGACCATTACTGAGTTATGCACCCCGGGGCACGAGTATCGTCGATAATACGCGGCCACGTACTACACTACGCTTCATAAGTATTTCGCCCTTTTACGAATCTTATTACTGAAACTTATGCAAAGGGTTAAAAATCATTTCAGAATTTAGAAGTTCTTGTTTGAGGTCTTTATAGCTTGAAATAGGGACAATATTGCTGACAATATGCAAACAGTATATACAACTGACCATAAGAATCTTAACACTAAACCTACCGACATATAATGTGTACTTGAGTTGAAATTAAAAATGAAGTTGAAGAATAAATAAACAAACAACCACACATAAATTAGTAGACATATTTATTCTTTATCTTGATGAAAATCAAGTCTCATTTCAAGAAATGTAACAAAACGTGTAGCTTATAATAAGAAACTTGTGAAGTGGTCATTTGACCAGTTTGGTAGTTTTAGTGTTAAAAGTTCTTGTTTGAGGACTTTATAGCTTGAAATAGGGACAATATGCAAATAGTATATACAACTGACCATAAGAACAAATATTAACAGTACAGAATTCAAACAGATCAAGATCCGATTATAAATCAAAATTGTTAGACTTCCTCGCGTTATATCGCCACAGAGTTATCGCAAGGGCACAGTAACGATTACCAGTCCTCATGAATAGGAAAATTGAATGACGTTGAACAGAGTGACGGCAAAGGCCGTGTCCTTTTCGAGTTTCATGGCGATAATGAGAAGAGACGTTTCAGTTTCTCTCTGTCTATCGCGCCCTTTCAACCGGAAGTTCGTTCCACGTTTCCGACGCTCTCCACCGGTACCTCGAATCCCCCTTACTTGGCCCACGCGCGGCAAATTGTCGAAACAAACGCAGCCGTGAAAACTCGTTAGTTGTGTTGGAGAGAATGTACTCGCGGCTGGCTATAATTCCACCAGGGACCATTACTGAGTTATGCACCCCGGGGCACGAGTATCGTCGATAATACGCGGCCACGTACTACACTACGCTTCATAAGTATTTCGCCCTTTTACGAATCTTATTACTGAAACTTTTCTCGTAATTTTGTAATTGCTTGACGAAATAATCTCTGTATTTTAGGGAAATAAGGGTGGATGAGAGGTCTTACAAAAGGAGAGAAAATATCGGAGGAAGTTGAGGAAATAGGAAAGTAGGGTGATCCTTGTACAACTTGTGAGGGTTGCAATCCTACAGATTTTTAATTACTAATAACTACGATAACGAAACAATCCCTGGGTCTTCAATTGTTCTTTAACCTTCCAATGTGGAGTTAGAATATTCTAAATTTGGCAAATACTTATGGACGATAGTGTACATAGAGTTTACTTATGACACTGGCAGGCGTAAATACGTAAGAGAACGCGCGAAACTTCTCTAATGAATCGGCGCGATTTAACGAGGTCTCCCCCTCGGAAAAAATGGTACGTCACTGATGCTCGTTAAAAAGTTGTGAATCTTTAATTTCTTTTCCTTAATCGACGTACTAGGAATCTTGAGATGTTCCGAGAATCGTTATAGAGCCATTACTGCCACCAAATACCATTATCGACGCCTTAACCCATTTTCATCGAGCAACTGTTATTCGAATAAACTGTTACTGTTCGATTTCAATTCCCCATTCGTTCGCTTATTTATTCTTTCATTTTTACGTGCTACAAACTCATCTTCTGTTCTAGCAAAATGATGCAAATTCCTCAAGGCAACTTTCTCTTCGTCATACAACTTACTACATACTTCACGACTTCAAAGTCACGAAATCATTTATCTTGTCTGACTTTTTCTTAACCTATTCGTGACCGTGTTCCAAATTTAAAACACAATCTATTTGGTATTATATGATCATTGGTATAAATATATGTAAAAGATAAATATTATATATTTATGTGTATTTATGTAGAAGTTATTTACACACACATGTACACATATGTGCACACATGTACACACATATGTGTTTACACCTATTTCACCTAGATCTCTGAAACTCAACTTTCATTCCAATACAACTAAATGTATAGTCCTAGATGACCAGACCTACTCCTAGATTCCCAAAAAATAAACTCAACCGTTAAATCTATTTCCACGTCGAATGGTCAAGAAATGACCGTAACGCGAGGCAGGATAATTTTTGTACAGCTGACCTTGTCCCAGATCCGTGGTCTCCGAATTTCGAAAGCCCGATCAAACCGCTACGTTGCTTGGTTAATTCGTGAATTCCGTCGAATTTCCCTGTTGCAAGCGAGGTCAAGGACGATGATCTAATCACGAAGTACTTGTTGCACGCTCGTTCGGCCGCTGTTTCGCTTTCTCGAAATCGTATTCAAAAACCTAACGTTTCTTGGTCTAGTTGCAGTCGACGCGAAAAACGATCATAGGAGAGGTCTATTCGATTCGATGGTTCGACTGTTTTCTAGGTCGCTCGAAAATGAACGAAATCGCTTCGAAACGGTATTCTTGCTCGCGTCAGCATCTCGAGCTTGTCGCGGCTTTTGCCTCGCTTAATCGGCCTTATTCGCAGCCGATGCGGAAACCACCGGGTCTCCTAACGATACGATCAGTTTTTAGGTCACTGTCAGCTGATACACTTCGTTACGCTTCCACGTGAATCGATCTTAATCCTTTTCGAACCACGTGAGAAGTTAAAAAGCCCCCTACGAAATATATTTAAGCTCGAATCAATTATCAAACGGGAGGAAGATTCTAAAGGAGAAAATTAGTCCAATTCGATGCAATGGAAATATTAAAAAGCTACGTTCGACTACGTATTGCGTAAGCAGGATAGTTTAGTCCGAGTAGAAAGTTGCGACCACAACGCGTGTTACTTTTAAATAAGTATGGAGTCAGCTAGAAGGGTTAATCCACAAATGACGTACGCGATAATTATGCTGATTCGTAAAGAGCACGTTCGTAAGCGGACAGAATCGTTACCGTATCGTTTTTACTAATTCGCATCAATATATCATTCCGCGAAATACTTTGTCGCCCGGCTCTCCCACACAATCCGTGAACAGATGTAACAGAATTACGTGGGTATTATTCCGTGCGCCGCGCCGCTCGCCTCCTCGTAATTAACTTTGCGAGCTGACGCACGAAATGTGCATACGTGCATTGTAAACTTGATACCAAAAGCGACGCGTGTTCGACGCCTGAGAGATCGATCTCCGTCGAGAACGGATAGTAATTCGATGAAAAAAAGAGAGATCGATTCCGCGAATCGTAATCGCGAGTATTTCCCGCGACGTGATTTCTATTCAGGAAGACTTTGCTGTACAGGAAGAGCGAATTAGCGCCGCGGCGTCAACTTGATGTTGGAACGTGCCAGTGAAACAGTGACACCTTGTATTTCACGCATAATAGATATTGTCGATCGTCTTTCTATATCGCAATTTATTGCTGAGAAGCTTCGCATCGACAAACGTTATGTTGCAACGCGTTGTATAACAATACCTTGCACAGACACGTGCTGTGTATCGACACGTTGTATATCGATACGCTTAATATCGTCGCGTTGTATAATCACGCGTGTATAGCAACGCTAGTTTTACAGCCAAACGTTATATCGCGTTTATATCGAAATTTACTATGGCCGAGTGTTTTCGTAAAGCAACTTTCTATTCGCGAAAATAGTAAAAGAATCGGTTGAACGCACGAAGAAAAGGTGAATTGTTTGATTCGATTTAAGCGACGCACAGTCTGCACGATCGAGATAGTCGGTCGAGCAGAGGCCAACTGTATTTAAAAACAGAAACGAACGAACAGACCGGTTAGACACCAAGGAGATCAACCCATTGGTCGAGTGATCGGGTAAAATGAATCTTTCATGTCACACTTTTCTCCCGGTCATTATCAACGCGCTGTTAAGGATCGTTCGTACTCGTTAGTTGTTTTCTTTCCATGAAGGAACGCGATCCAGATACTCTGGTTTGTCCAGTGAGTCGATGTATGGTGTCGGTAGCCGGACGAACGCGAAAGTAGGATAAAATTCGAAAGAGAATCACGTAGGACTTACCTCGATAAGGTGCCCTTGAGGAGAGGATTTCTGTCGTCATAGTATCCACCGGACGACGGCATCTTCAAGTAATCCAAGCAATGGGCACGTGGCACTTGGCACTGACACTACGGCACTGCATCACTGTCGCGTGATCTGTTAACTTTCCATTCACCGTAGCGACGATATGCTTCGGTTTAGCTACGTGCACGGCGCATCGTTTTTCCGCACAAAAAAACTGTACCGCGATTAGAAAATCTACTTGGCACCCGCGTTAAAATCATATCACGAAACCGTGTGTTACATCGCCAACTGGATAACCATGTTTCATAAGGTTACGTGTAACGATCTCCTTGAGAACCGTCCGTCGAGATAACGACCAGGCAACGCTGTCAACAAGTTGTCGGTACGTCTTACCAGACTACTCTCTCGCCAATTATCCAGATAGGTTTCTCATTTTCTTCGATATCGTCGATTCACGTGCTCGAGAACGATCGTTAAACGACACTCGATGATCCTTCCGGTATCTCTGGCTCTTCTACGTTAACCTAAAGGCAGAAATTTTCGTTTAACGAACACCCTTCCGACGCGCGCCGTACCTCCCCTCGAACTGCTGGCGAGCTTCCTCGACACGTGCGAACACTGTTGCCAAACATGGTTGCCTATCAAACACAACCCCTCCCCTTCGGCCACTTAACGATACGATTCTCTCGAAGAATTGCCCACTAAACTTTTACGCGATATCATCAAAGAGGTTAACGACGCAAAAAATTTAATCGTTCAATTATTCGATATTCCATTTGTTACGATCACAGGTTATTTTCCACTCTCGAACTCTCTGGTTATTGCGAACGATCGATTCGCGCCAAAAATCGAACTACGGTCGAGTGAAAGTTCTTGCGGTCGATATTCGAGGAAACGTTGTAATTCGTAGTGGTGGATTGTCTCGTTTTTTCTGTGTAGCATTCGAAACGCGAGAAACTTAACAGGCTAGATCGAACGACTCGTATTTTTCACTCGAAGATTCGGAAGCCGGAATCGTGTCGCGAAGAGACTCGTTCAACGGTCGGAAATAACGATGCATGCGCGTGTGTTCCAGCGAAGAAATGTTAAGATAAGTGTCACAGTTGAAAGCGGAACGTGCCAGGTGAGTCCATCGAGCACGTCGTTTATTTATAAACTAAGGGAACCCGGGAGAGAACGCAGGAGCGACGGAGGCCAACGGTGTTGTCCCTCGCGTTTGGTTTACCGTTCGTAAACTACACTGTATCCGTGCTTCGAGGACCACGTGTTACTTATCCGATCTCACGATTGGTCGTACGATTTCAAGATGGCGACTATTGACCTGTCAATGCAAATTCGTAATGTTTTGTATATTATGAACGAATTTTTAAACACTTTTACTCAAATACCATTAACAAAAGAAACATTATTTTATAAATTTATAGAAACTCCTGTTTTATCGGAGCGATTTTAACAAAATCCAGCGAAGTGAGAATTGACCGTGTTAGCGGTGTACCGACACAGAAACAATAGTCAAAATTACGAATCGTAATGTAAAAGGAAAAAAATATGCTATTAAGCACGCAAAGAGTCATCCATTGCAACAGTATGTCATAAGCTATAATTATTCCTTTCTCCCACAGGTTTCTGACTCGTCTATGCACTTTCACTGTGCCTTCTACGACTCTCGAGTCAAATGCGTGTTAAAATTATTGATACAACAAAAATCAAGATATAGTTTTAACGGTTAATCCTTTTTACTTTTTTAAATATAATACAGAATTCGATTTACAAGTCTTAGTCAAAAGTTTTATGCGACGTTTTATAATCTGATGCCTTCGATATAAAACACATATCGCGTATTAAATCGTGATAATGCTTTACACGATAAAAACTCGCGAACAGACCGCAATCCTTTTACGAACCGATGTACCGTTCTCACCAGCGATCCAACTCGAAAGTATCCGCTATAACAAGGACAAATGATCTGCTTGTCCACTCGATAACGTTTTCATACAACTAATTTACGCGTGCATTTCATTTTCAAAATTACAACGATACAAGATTTTTGAACGGTAAACAGAAAAAAAATTTCTTTCAATTGCAACAGCGTCACAGATCGTAATCCTAAGCTGAGTATTATATTTAAGAAACTTTGCTGCAAACTTTTTTCCAACTGTGAACCAAGATGTTTTCGAAGATTGGGTAACGAGGCGAAAAGTCGAGGAGTAAAAGCGTTACGTGATTCAAGGACGTACGCTAAGTGGGATCGTGATCCAGTCGACAAGCAGTTGTAGGTGCAACGAACGTTCTACCCTTATAGTTGGCCGTGTATTTATGCGCGGCGCTGATCGAATTAGAAAAAAGCGCCCTCGTCGACTATCCGGTCTACTACGAAAAAAACGAACCCGAGAGACTCGAATGCTTGCTGGAAAATCGGTACCGTAAGCGTTCCACTTCTCTTTCGTTCTCCTTCTCCTTCTCTCCTTCTCTTTCCTAAAAGAAAACCGCTCCGGAATCCGCGTCTCGGAATGCGAGGCGACGAGACTCGGCTTAGCACGAACGTAACCTGTCCACGCTGTTTTCTCCCACCTAGTCTCTGCCACTGATCCTCCTAACTCTACGTAACACATCCCTACCTAATCCGAACGATACAAACATAATTATACTCACACCGAAGAATATGCCACCGTATGTAACCGTACCGTATGATGCGTCGTTGTCTCGCTTGATTATTTATTCATTTACTACATGCATAGATAGTTAGAACTATCTGTCCATTTTTTTTTTTTAATTATGTTGAGTTCCAAATGAAAAAAAGAAAACGCGAAATCGATTGAAAAGTCCTACTTAAAATACGGAGATTCTGTTTAATACAAATGGAATCTGTCTGCACACTATTTCCTCTCTACCATCTCTGCCACGCGCGTTTCCCCTTCACCTCCTTTTCTACACCGTTTTAACCTGGTGTAAGTGTCCGCACACGATCTAACCACGAGTATCTATATTTGTCGGATCTTCGACGAAGATACGTAGTGGGTACCAACACTTTCCTGGCTATTGGTACGCAACACAGTTTCGCTTATTTATCCTACACATGTACATCCGAAACACGTAGATATAACACGCATCTTATTTACCGAGCAATCGCCAGAGAAACGAAGAGAAAGAAAAGCAGGAAAAAGAGAAGGAGGAACGAAGAGATAGCGCCGCGAACGATACGAGCTATTTTTTAAACGCGATGCACGTTTAAACCGGATGATTGTCATTAGCGATAATCGAGTAAACGATATATTTGTAAACATTCACAAAATTCTCACTCGGAACTTTTCGTTATCGTTGAGTAATCTGTAAAGACCTTTTAAAGCATTAACGGCGTACATACTTTGTGACTGGTCAAAGATGAAAGTTAATTCGGAAGGAAAATATTGGATACTCACAAATATATGTATTGTATAGTTATAAATCCACGGTTTTTCGAACGATTTTAGATATATCTGCGTCGTTAGCGTGTACTTCACTGTTGGTTGCACGAAAGTACGCGCGATCACAAGCACAATTTCTGGAATCTTTTGCTTCCGTGAGCCGTGCGACATACGTTGCGAATACACGCGCGAGAAACATGCCCCTCCTCCTTTTTCGTTTCGCATTGCCGGGCATACAGGCCACGTTCTGTTTTCTTGTGCACAGTCGCAACACCACCGATCATTCCCTAGGAATAAGGTCGTTCGTAAGATCGTGCCAAGAAACACTACCAAGAAAACGCTCGTTATTTACGAAACGTCGTTTCGATCGCGGTTCGAAGACACCCGATTCGTAAATCGACTCGTTACGCGTCGACGTTAACCGCGTTAATCGATCACGCATCACCTAAACGAGCGAACAAAGTTTCGCGTACGACAAAATTTAAAGCGCGAGGATTACGATACGCTCGGCAATGCACGGAACACAATTGCTACGGAAATGAAACAGCTCGGATTACATTTGTATCTCGATAATCCAACTAGGTACTTTATCGTTTAGAAAGTAACGCTCTACATCGACGACCTTGTTCTTAGGATCTACCACATAGGCGTCAATCGTATCAAGCATCTATCAACGCTCAAGAATCAAACGTGTAAAGGTTTCGCTCGAAACGGGTAGAGGGAGCTGGCCGCAGTTGTCAACGGCGGACGGCGTACGTGAACAGAAGGCTGGTCGATATGGGGAGAAAGAAATACACTCGTAAAAGGTCGATCGTCGAGTAGCACGATATCCGTGGATACGTACTGGAAAGAACGATCGATCCTTCGATTCCTCTTCCTTTTCGTATCTCCTATAAGAAGACCGCACAATGACAGTTTAGCTCACGGTAATGGCAGATGCGTTACGACGGTCTGTCACGTGGTTTAAAGGGTAAAAATTATTCGCGCGTTTGCACGTGTGCGCCTACTCGCGTTCCTATGCATACTTCTATGCACGTGAATTTACGCGACCACTGGTTGTGAACATCCATGCACGTACGAGTGTCAGTGTGCGAAATTGTACATATGTATAGGTTGAATGGCGGCTGTGCAAAAATGTCACAATGAGACGGCGCGTGGACGGTCGCGGCTGAACTGATCGTGGGGGTCGAGCCACAGGTGTCATCAGACGACGGCTGCTCCACCCCTCTGCCCCCCACCCCGGCTCCCACACCCGCCCTCGAACCCCACTCTTGTTCGCTACTTTCACGCACACGTCCAGCCCTGAGACGCGTGCGCACATCACAACCGGCTTCCTCTTTAATCATGCAATATCATTTGGTATACGTTCGCGGCGCCTATGAACGCCTATGAGCGCCTATGAACGGGGCACGTGCTTCTCGACGCTTGTTCTAAACTCTAAAACAATATCGATAACCTTTTTCTCTATTGCTTCGTTGCTCTCGATGAGAGTTACGATCAGAAAACGTAATAACGCTTAAGCATGCATAATAAATTGCAAAACTGTTTCAATGTAGTGTTTATTTATTGATTGCCTGAAATATTATATAACGCTAGGGATCTAGAGGTACGAGGAAAATCACAATGATAGTGGATAAAAAAGTCATTAACTATTTACATTCATAATTTAACTTCGATTTTTATTATTCTCTCTTTTTTGTATTTAATTCCCGGCCGTACGATCTTTTTGTTAGATGTATCAATTAGAATTAGTCATTCACTACTACAATGTTAAAACAAATGAAAAGAACTGTTTGATTATGCAAATTATAATTGAACTTGAACTTCAAATTGAAACGTATTAAGAATTCGAGGTTTAACACTAATTACGACTAAACTGTGAACCAGTTCGTTGATAAAGAATAATCACCGTAGTATAGTGATGCAATAAAATAGTAATGTAATAAAATAGCAATACACAACCTAAGTGGAACATGGTTTTAAAGATTTAATACTTGGTACCTTAACAAAATTTTGAATGTCAGACTTGGCCAACACGGTCAATTAAACGCCGTCCAATTATATGACGTAAGCTAATAACGTTATACCATCTTATAAAGTTTCAAAACATTGCATGACGCAGCATAAGATGAGTTTATTTCCAAAATTAACGCGTGTTATTGAAAGAAATAACAATTATACGAAGTGAAAAGAGAAGAGGAAATTTTGAAAGGGGTGACTAAATAAAATAAAACGTAGATACTATTGATATTAAATATAAACGTTCGTAATTCAAATAGATATTTATTCAAAAACCAGTGTATTTCGTGACAAAACATATAACGTCAATTCCCCACTCTTGTTCGCTACTTTCACGCACACGTCCAGCCCTGAGACGCGTGCGCACATCACAACCGGCTTCCTCTTTAATCATGCAATATCATTTGGTATACGTTCGCGGCGCCTATGAACGCCTATGAGCGCCTATGAACGGGGCACGTGCTTCTCGACGCTTGTTCTAAACTCTAAAACAATATCGATAACCTTTTTCTCTATTGCTTCGTTGCTCTCGATGAGAGTTACGATCAGAAAACGTAATAACGCTTAAGCATGCATAATAAATTGCAAAACTGTTTCAATGTAGTGTTTATTTATTGATTGCCTGAAATATTATATAACGCTAGGGATCTAGAGGTACGAGGAAAATCACAATGATAGTGGATAAAAAAGTCATTAACTATTTACATTCATAATTTAACTTCGATTTTTATTATTCTCTCTTTTTTGTATTTAATTCCCGGCCGTACGATCTTTTTGTTAGATGTATCAATTAGAATTAGTCATTCACTACTACAATGTTAAAACAAATGAAAAGAACTGTTTGATTATGCAAATTATAATTGAACTTGAACTTCAAATTGAAACGTATTAAGAATTCGAGGTTTAACACTAATTACGACTAAACTGTGAACCAGTTCGTTGATAAAGAATAATCACCGTAGTATAGTGATGCAATAAAATAGTAATGTAATAAAATAGCAATACACAACCTAAGTGGAACATGGTTTTAAAGATTTAATACTTGGTACCTTAACAAAATTTTGAATGTCAGACTTGGCCAACACGGTCAATTAAACGCCGTCCAATTATATGACGTAAGCTAATAACGTTATACCATCTTATAAAGTTTCAAAACATTGCATGACGCAGCATAAGATGAGTTTATTTCCAAAATTAACGCGTGTTATTGAAAGAAATAACAATTATACGAAGTGAAAAGAGAAGAGGAAATTTTGAAAGGGGTGACTAAATAAAATAAAACGTAGATACTATTGATATTAAATATAAACGTTCGTAATTCAAATAGATATTTATTCAAAAACCAGTGTATTTCGTGACAAAACATATAACGTCAATTATTGACGCAATGCTCATAACGCAGTATCATTCGCTCGATTCCTTTCATACGTATTCCTCTCTCTCCGTGATTTATACTCTTTATACTAACTATATGTATATTTATATATATAGATTTTTTCTTTACTTTAATAATATTTAATATTTTCTATTTCCATCATTCCTGTTTCATTTCGTATCATGTACAATGTACCATTGTAACATTAGAATTCTATTGATAGTCTAATTACATATACAGTATGTGTGATATGGGCGTCATAGCCGCTGTTTTTTCTATGCGGTACACCGACTTTCCATGCACCCAAAATTGTTCTAATAGACGCGAGCAAATAACACGAGCTTTCCTTACGTAATAAAACAGAAAATCAGATTTCGTTTAAAAATATCTATGGAATATATGCATCAATTCATTATTAAAAAAAAAAAATCAATCGTTTGTTTGCTCGATGTTTATCTTCGTCGCAGCGAAACCGATTCCCGTTAATGCTAAGCTACCTACATCTAGAAAAATATTTACCGATTCTCTAAGGGAGAAAGTTCGCGAGTAACATGTATTTTCTCGCCACCAAGTAACGCGGAAGAACAAACATGTCGATTTCTCGCTAACCGATAAAGGTAAACTCGTATGATTGACTCCGAAACAGATCGTTTCGCTAAACCTTTCGAACGCCCTCGACTTCGACGCGTGTTGCTCGTGAGACTCGCACGACCGTCCTGGGAAATGGAAGTGCCACTTACTTGCCCTCCAACTTACCCAGAAAATACCCTCAACCTTTCTTGTAAAAAATGATCTTAAAATCTGGTATATCGCGAAGGAGCACGTTATTATTGCAAATTGTTTCGATATACGTTCAAGGTTCAAAATTTATAAAAAATCTTAGTATCAGCATTAAGTTTTATTTTATAAATATAAAAAATTGTTCGTGTGGGTGCGTGCAAGTTGGAACAAATAGAATTTCTCAAAGTAAAGCATGTACGCTTCGGTGTTCGAGCGTGACACATGTTGGGATGGCAATTGGTTAAAAATATCTAATATTGTTATTGCAACAACTCGATAATACCATGTCAACATTTAATGCAAACCTATATTTTACGAACAAACGATTTGTAATTATAATATTAACTAATAAAGGAAAAACGTGTTTGATTTGATTACCTACATTCTAATGTACATAATATTATAATTCATATTTTTGTCACTCTCGTGAATGTTATTTAATCGCTGCTTTCGGCCGATCCGTTAATTAGCCACGTCGTTGAAAGCAAAGAGATGAAAACGCGCTAAGCGCCAAATTATCGATCGCTAGTCACAATTGAAATTTTCACGTCCGGTTCGTCGTGTGTATGCATCAGAAGTTTCCCAGGACGAATAATTCGATGATATCAAATGACCGATACGATTATTCATCGCTTCTCGTTAAACATATCAGGATAATTTACATGATCGATAACATGAACCGATTAAAAATGTAAAATTCTCCTTTAACCGTAGAAGAAAATTGCGGATTTAAAGAAGGAAATAGCATAAACGATGGCCATCTCGCATCATCTAATTATTCTGCTCAACGGTCGCTTCTAAAATACTACCAAATTTCTTTACAAATTCGAGAACTATGTCTCTTTAAATTATACAATTGCACGAATAAAGTGTATAATCTATCTTCTTTTATAACAATTGTCGTTCTCGTACGCATCGTCCCGTTAACAGTTTTAACGTGAACAGGAAAAATAAAGAAAACGAATGCGATCCTAGAACTGCGTCACCAAAAAAGTATTCGAGATTTTGATCCTATAGTTTAAGAAAAAAACAGAAAGCCTTGCTTCAAACAGTATCGTAAGGCACATTTTCAACACGTCCCAAGTCTCTAAAATCATGAAGCGAGGGGTGCGTTCAAACGGGATCGAAGTCGGGAAGCGACTCGAGAGATCGACTCTGTTCGAAGATTCACGCTGTTTTGTCGAGAAAAGTAGTCGCCAAGTGAAAAACTGTTCTTGTATACGTACGCAAAAGGGGGCCCTCCTTGAAAGAAAGAGAAAAAAAAGTGTAAAAAAAAAAGGAAAAGTACAAGTACATATTTTATGTATACATATATATAATATATATATATATAGCCTTCGTCGATCGTTTAATGTGCATAAAGTTTATGTTGTTGCACACGTTCAATATCGGTCAAGATTTGGTTTCATTCATCATGGTTTTACAATTAACAGAACTTAGTCTAATTCTCAACAAATGTGTACGACACATTGAAATGAATGACGTGTTTCGTGCGGCGTCTCGCGAGCGGTGCTTTTCTGTTCACTGCCCCTCCGCCGATAAACGGCGCACTTTTCTTCTCCAGTAGCGACGGGAAACAACGTTAGATATTGCAATAAATATGGTATAGCAAAAGCTTTGACGATGCATGCTCCGTTAGAACCTGGCTCTGATGTAAACGGCGGAAGCATCGTGTTCACCATAGCCAAGCCGTTTCGCGTGTTTGTACACCTCGTTCGCCGCGGCAGCCAGCGGTAATGGTTGTTCCAGTTGATCGCTCATACCTAAGGAGAGTCTCAAGTCTTTCTGCATATGCTGCAGCGGTAACTGCGTTGGAAAACCACCCTCGATGATTGCTGGAAAACGTAACAAAATTATTTATGTTATTGGGTTGCAAATAGTGTATGCGATCATCACATACATTAGAAGCAAAACTTTAATATTTGTTAAAGGAAAAAATTTTAAGATTTAAGAACTTATCTCTTCGATTAAAATTCTGATTAAAGAACTGATATTTTCATCCTAAAAATAAGACAAATACCTTTTCCTTTGTCAAGGATCGCGGGACAAGCTAACGATGTCAGTTCCAGGACCTCGAGTACGTCCTTCTGTTGAAGACCAGCGCGATCCGCAAGAGCCATGCTCTCCGCCAAACCGGCAAGAGTTACACCCGCCATCAGTTGTAGCACGAGGTTCATTTTAGAAGCGTTACCAACTTCGCCCAGGTAAAAACTGTTTTTGCCCATCGCCTCGAAGCAAGACTGACACTCGTCGAAAAGAGTTCGATCACCAGCCGCGAGGATCACCAGAGTACCCTCTTGTGCTTGTGTTTTGCTACCTTGTACTTGAGCCTCTAAGTAGCGGCCACCCTTTGCGGTTATTGCTTCCGCGATGTCTTGCGATGTCTCCGCATCTATACCGGTCATCTCCACGTATCCTTTCTCTGGTGATATTTCTGTGAGCACCCCACAGTTTCCAAACACCATCTAAAAATAATTTAAATTTCATTTGCTTATGGTGTTCGTTTTGTAAAAGAAATGTCGAAACTTGATACGACGTTTACGTACATCTTTAGCAGCCTGAGGATCAGCTACGCACGAAAATGTAATATCGGCAGCGAGTACCACGTCGGATGGGGTTAAACCTTGTTCTGCGCCTGCTTTCACAAAATCTGCACACTAAGAAAAAGAAAAACGTCAACTTTTAGTGCTAATATACGGGACAAAATAGTTATGTAGATTGGCATAAAAATAAATAAATAATCATTTATTTATGAAAAGTTATGTACCTCGGCTGCAACGTAGGCCTCACGGTATTAATCAAGATGAAAGCTAAGGAAACTAGCAAAATACTCGTAAGTTCTAAAGCTACTGAAGATTCCCACATTATAAGAATCTCGAAAGGATCTATTCTAAAAGGGCGGGAATCGAATAAAAAATATTTTATTATTTTCAAACTTGCTATATTTAACGCGATTCGTTAAAAATTTTTATTGTATGCATTTCTTTTAAGTAAAAGAAGCCTAAGTTGCCCGAATCTGTACATTTTCGCAATTCTTTTCTACGGGTAAATTGTGTTACGGTCGTGGTAAAGACTTTTTTAGCATCCTGGCGACATCACGCGGCGCAATATGAAACTTGAAGTAAAAGTCTAACGATCACGGTCCCGGTAGATGTCGCCACAACGAGCCACTCGCCATTTTCGTCGCCATTCTTGTCACGTACATCGTTTCTCTCCGGTTCGAAGCTAAACGTTTCCAGACTTGCTGCCACATCAGCAAACGACGCCATTGCATCATACAAAGATATTTTCCGCATACGGCCAAAAGGTGCATCTGTATCGTTCGTTAAGATTCAAGGGGTATTATAAAATAGTTCGATTCATTCTTCGATTCATTCAACGAAATATGCTTTGATGAATGTATCGAAGTAATTCTGGAACGTTCCATATGTCGAAAATGATGCATAGCGATGGAAGTCCCGTTATTCGGACAATAAAACGAATCATGAAAGCGTACGGTTCTTGTTTGTTTCGGAACGTTAGATTTCAGTACGATATCAAACTGAGACGTAGATAACGAGTCAAGAATGACGAAATCTATGTTTGTGCTAGAACTCGATTGAATTTTATGGGATACGCCTCTCCTGCGACGATAACACTTTCGTATACGTAAAATGGAAGCGTTTATGTCCTCTGGTAAATGGACATTTTTCTATGAATATATTGTTCTTCGATAAATCGATTATTTTAGTAAACGTCTATTTCAGAATCAATAAATTATATCTAAGAAGAAATTATATCTACGATATTGATAATTATGTAGTCTTACTGGCATTGACGTGGCGAGTCAACAAGCCAGTTAAGTGTCGTCAACAAAGAAACAAAGGAGACAAATAGGTTATATTCTTTTTAAATCGATGAACAATGTTCCTCCCGAACGCCGAGCACTTCGTTCGATACGATACGGAACTAACTTCTAAAGACTTTACAAAAGACTTTACAAAAGCAAAAATAACAAAGTAACGAAGAAATGCTATAAAACGAATATAAAGATTGATTTCTTCTATTGTCTCGTTGCACGTGCGCAAGGGTAATCGACTAGGAAGTGTACATCGATCGTATTCCTGACCTGTATTATTTTGCACGTCCATTTATTTGGGAAATCTGTTCACTGCCCATAAAGTAACTTTACTGTAAACACTCGGATACTAGGAGAATAACGACAGGCATTAAAATGAAAAGTCAGGCAGCATTGACTTTGAACACAGATTTTACACTTTGAACGTTATCGTTCCTTTGTTTGATGGTGGACGAAGTGTTCTCATTGTACGATTTGGCGATCTCGTCGATCTGAACTATATATACACGAAGGTCTATCGCAAGGCATTGAATAAACGCCGAATGGTAAAGGAGAGACGTCAGAGATTAATGGCCAAGAAATATCTCGTTTTTCTGCCTTCTTACGTGTACGCAACTTAGAATACAGTAACGTAAGTTTCCTTAGGGAAAATGGTGATACAGGAGACTTCATCACTTTTGTAACGTAGACATGTGTAGCAACTTATGAGTATTGCATAGGGTAGATCAGGTGCCTTATGTTCATAAATACTGATGTAAGTAGAATTTCACTCTGGAGTCACCCAGAATTCATTAGTGTTACAGCCTTAAGCCTTATATACTGAAGAGGCTTCTGAAATGTTAAGAATTAGCCTGCATAGGGAGACAACCCATGGGAAATCTATGTTTTATAAATTATGTGGAGGTACTTAGAGACATTACTGTCGCCAACAAATAAGGTACCCATATTTATAATGTATAATTGTATCAATTATTCGAGAAGAGTTGATGTCGATACTGTATCTGTTTCATATCTTTGTTTGTCAGCGAAAAGAGATTTTTGCGCGTACTCCGAATTTTTCGTTTCGTTCACGTACGAAAAGAATTTGCACGCAGATAAATTTCGTGCAAATGCGAGTGTCTGTGCTAACGAATGACCTTGAACCAACTTAACCGACTTGTGTGGCTTCCACGAGGGAAGAAATTCAACGGTTTCCAGGGACGAATGCAACCGCATACGCGACACAAGTGCACTCTAGCTGCATTCCATATGTGCCTCGTTCCAACGAATTGCGATGTTTCCAAATTGTTACATCGATTACATAATTTCACGAGCTTACATAATTTCCAGAATATCTTTATTCTAGTTCTAGCATGCGACGAAGGTTTTCGGCCAGCTCTTTTGATATTATGATAATAAAGCGAATACATGACCTTATATAGGCAGGGAATATCCGCTATCTGCACCATCTGCGAACATTTCAAACCTACACATGGTACTTATTTCAAGTACCATGTGGGTGGACAGTTACACAAGCCGAAGGTAAGGAAACACCACAAATACGCGCACCGATTTTAGAATAACAATATGCCTCCAGTGACGTAACTCGCATTTTTGTCTAAAGGGTATCAGCCTTAATAGCAAAGTGTATAGCTCAATGACAGGCGCTAATATCTTGGTTCCTAATTGCGCCAATGTATACCTTGTTCGTGCCCAATCGCCCTTGGAGAACTAACTTCAAAGTCAAACGAGCAGAGTATCATCATTACTTCGATCATTCTATGAACACGTAGAGTCTCAACCACGTAAGTTTACTACTTTGACAACGATATGTAAAGAAATTGCGAAGGATGGACTCGTAATAAATTACAAGGAACTAAGATCGATTCGAATTATTTTCCGTGCTAAAATTTGATCGCTCGATTCCAGATGTTGCAAATTCCAACTGATAGTCACCTCGGGTATTTCTTTTTCATTGAAGTGGCCTCTTTTCTCAAAAATAAACCGGGACACTCGGCAGGCAGGGAAGCCTAGCTATACACGTGTCGATCCGACACGAGAGAGACGGATAAACGGACGAGTACGAAACCGACATGCCAGAATACAAGTTGCAGAGGTGGCGGATGTGGAATCGTATAAGCGATGGCAGAAAGGGGTTGGAGTGGGAGGGGAGCTGGGTATATCGACCTTTGCGGCTCACAGTGAACGCGCGGAAAGCAGTTGTATAAAATTTCTAATAGCAATTGTCGACATATGTACGGTGCATAATCAGGAAACGGCAACCTAGGAAACTTTTTCGAAGGAAATCTCTCGCGAAACAAGGACGAGTGCGCCTCTTTTTAAATTTTAACGAGTTTCTGCATATTAATAGATCATGTAATTTCTCTGTGGACGCTTTTGGAAGTAGGCAATTAATATTCAAATCCCAAGCGAGTTTTTATATACTCTGTTCGCTACGACCTCTTTTCCGCTTACTTTTTGCAACCGAAAATAAAAGTGTCGAGTACTGACCGATGCAAAGCATTTCTCAAGATGCGAAATTCAAACTGACAAAAATGTGGTAATAGAACGCGTTACTCGAATTGTATTGTATTCTCGCGCGTATAATATTTTTAGAACGACGTATATAAAACGAGGAGCAGTCAGGGACGTACAAATACAAAGTGCAATGTGCTCGGAGATGGTCTGAATGAACGGGTGTCGTTCGGTCTCCAATAACCGAGCTATCGGAAACATATGCGCGCTATTTCGATCCGTTAAAGTAATTGTGAAATGCTCGCTATTGTTTCGAGCGTTATCTTATCTCCGTGTTTATCGCGATATCAAAAATTATTCTTTTTCTAAGTTGGACCAACTTTCCTTGTTTACTCAAGATAACATTCCGTACTACCGAGTCCTTGCAATTAGTGAAATCGAGTTTATCAACAAGACGTCTATCGCATTCCAAAGTATTAAATCTCAGATAATTCGTGCACCGCTTAGAAAGTCATTTTGGCGCAAAGCTGTCGGTCGAATTTCCGCTATAGACAGCTCGAGAAACAAGAGTCGCTAATTACTCCCCGCGCTAAACGTACTCTTCTTTCACTGTACTTTTCTCGTCTTCCCGTCGCGACACACTCGTTTTCGCCAGCTTTGCGGTTTGGTTAAATTAATTGGCAGTCAAGTTGCCGCACTCTGCTCTGATAATAATACGAAAATCAATTTCCGCATGCATGTCCTGAATATCTAAGTTTCAAGACGGTACTTAAAATATGCACTTAACAATTTTAGACTTTCATATTTTCCGTAAAGAAGCCAGATGCGCTCTTGACTATCTAGAAAGGATTATGTGCTTTCACTGAAGCATAGGGAAAATGACACAGGATGGTTGGGTTTCTCCAAGGTGAATTGCGATATAAGGAAAGGAGTTCTAGTGGTAACGACTGATATATCTGGAGTGCCAGAACGAATCGATGGAACCCTTGCGTCACCATTTCTCTGATGGAGAAACTTATCGTTCTCGGTGACCATTATTTAGGTAGATAAGCAGAGGTAAAGCATTAATATATGAACAGGTTGCTCGAAGTATATTATTCTTGTGGCTTAATTCGTTTTGTCCTGATTTCGTACTGCGCTGGCCAGACGGTACAAATTAACCTTTGAAAAATATCAGAATGGTAGCAAACCGGTAAAGGCCAAGGGGACGAAGGCGACGAAGGACAAAAGCGAGCAAAGGAAGGATCGGCGGGAGCGGGCCTGCGCCGTCTGACCGACACGTATAAATAAAGAGTCGGTTTAGCTGCGACGTTGCCGGATCTAGGTAATATTGATCCACTCGAACTCGGCATGGTCGGCAGCCGGGGGTCACACGGGAAAACCCGGCAACGTTGCTCTGTTCCCAGCTGATCGAGCTTTACTCGTGTCCTGCTCGACGCTCGACCGTGTCTCTTCGTTTCTTCGCCTTCTTTCTTCGTCCCGTTCACGCGTTCCCTCTCTTTTCGCTGTAACTAGCAACCGCCACTTATCGTTCTGCCGGTAACCTCAGGCCTTTCCTTTCTTCTTATATCGCCCGCTCTCGCCGCCATGCCGCTCCGTTTTAACTCGAACGCCACGCGAATTCTTTCTTCCATTCGGTTCGGCATATACAGCACAGTCGCGAACGACATTATGCAACGAAGAAAGGCTCCGACATTCAATGTATACGTAGACGTACGGATATGAAAGCGTCGAATACGTGTACATGTGATGGTATTCGTCGAGTAAACAAAAGATTTAATAATTAATCGGTTTAGGTACGACGCCAAAGTCTGTCACCAGTCTGACCTCCATCGAATTGGACTTCGATTTTCGTAATTACGACGTATGATTTTATGCCAAATTCCGTATTCACGAGCTTTGATAGCGACGGAACATGCTATCCTTTAAAATTAGCTACCCTTCTTTCTTTCGTCTACTACCCGTCCGACGTTTTTGACCCTCGTGAAAACCGCCTGCCAACGGTGTTACGTAACCGTAGCATCAAATTCGCCGCGTAAGGAATCTATGGCGTAATTCGATGATTTAAAAATGCGATGAAAGTTTAAAAACTCCTCGTAAAAACCAAGAGTAATTTTTATTCTAGATTTATTGTCGTTAGTGTTCTTCGATACAGAGTTCTACGCATTTCTTAATTCACGATTAACTCGGTTTCTAAAAGCTAATGCTATCAACATTCTTCGAACATTTACTTTGAAAGGATTCCTTCCTTTGTTCTGTTTATCGATGCCATTACGTAACACCTGTTAGCCAATAATTCCGTCTTTATTTCTCATTCATGCTCTCTTTCGTTTAAATTATTGATGTTGAACGACTATCGGAAAAGATATCTCGATTTTCAATTGATTGGTTATCTATTTCATTTTTATACGTAATTGCCTTGAGCTTTGGTGCGAAACTTTCTTCGTTTTACAAAGTAGACTGATATCTGCGCGTGAATTTCTACTCGTGGAGATCTCCATACTTGGTATCGCGATTTCTACACGCGATTATCTCTATACGTAACAATTTAACGCCTGGAGATCTTTATACGTGCTGATCTAACACATGGAAATTTATGCGTATAGCAAACTAACTCGTGGAAGTTTATATGACAATCTAACGTATGGACAACGTATGACGATCTAACAGAAGAAGATGTATTAGGTGTGTCACCCTCTGCGTGTGGCGTAGCAACTTTTAAAGCAGAATTTCCATGAAATAATTCTGTTTCAGAACCTGTACAAATACACTCAAAAAATGTGGCGAATCGATGGAGACGGGAAATGGTCCTTCGGTTACAATTTCCCTTAACCATGACCGACAAGACGAGAAGAAACCTTCAGCCGAAGTTTAGCAATCAAGGTCAAATTCAATCTCGTTACGACCATGCACGCAAATCAAGTTTCGAAACAAATTACGAAAACGATTTACAGGGCTACGCTCGAATTGCACAATCCACGTTAATTGCGATTCGAACACAAAGTATAATTCAATCAATTGTCCGACAAACTGTGACCCGATAAAGCAAAGTTAAAAAGAGAACTTTATATCGTTATGTTCAAAATAATTTTCTTTATCTCAAATTTATCTGCTACAACTTTCTGTACAAAGTTTCAAACAAGGTTTGTTAAAAACGCACAATGTCTAAAGTCCTGAGATACATTTGAATATTACAGGTGAAGTCTTCTGAATAGCTTTAATATTTGATGAAAGATGACAAGCTGAAATTCAGTATTAAAAAAAAAAACAGGAAAGGGAAGAATACGTAAACTAACTTATCAAGCATATCTGCGTAACTGGAGAATATAGAACGGTAGTTTATGTTACACTACACAGTTATACCGTTCACGCGAATACAGTTACAATATATAACACCTAACTTTTAAACACGTTATTAATACCGTTCTCGCGTTGACGTTTGTTTACCTTAAATTACCGTAGACATTAGACGTTAGACTTTATTAATAAGCCTGGCCAAAGATCGGTCTCTGGCTGCTAAATTATACCATTCTTTTGACACGTTTTGCTTGTCATCTGCACGTGATTAAGAAAACTGGCCTTTATAGATTATGCTCCGTTCAAAACTGAATATTAGTTACCACTAAGCCAAAGTCTACTTGGCAATTGCACATGCAGACAGTTTGAACAAGTAAATTATAGCTGCACCAGGTTTCATTAGGATAATGAAATTCGTGTTTTTCTTAGAAATACGCAGGCTCGACTCTTCTATAATTAACGACAGTAAATGAAGGCACACTTTCCTTCGAACCTTTTACTAATAACGTGATCAATTTTGAAAGTGTTCGAAAAATTGCGTCGAATTTAAGGAATCATAGTTCAGGTAAGAATTCTATTGAATATAATTCATGCTAGCAATAAACTTTCTCACATGTGAATCACAGTTTTACACAGTTCGAAAGAATTGTCGTTTCGCTTAGGTATACGTCATCAAATTCAAACCGAGTGTCAGGCAAATATTATGATTATTCGCTAAAATTCAAGGTTGCGGAAAACATAGTTTGATATGAGGGGGAATGCTAGCTCGGTAAAGATATGTAAGTCACCCCAGTTTTATAAATAAAGCACCGTAATTTATAAAATGATAGCCATTTTTAATACGCATTTACCGATTTCTCGACGCAACGTTGGTCGTTAATAAAATTAATATTTTTTTACAAATATTAACGAGTCTATCGCGTGTGTCGTGTCGTTAGGTTACTTTCCTATCGGACTAGTATATCGGCGATCGTATCCATTACAAACAAATTATCGGTTTCAGTCGAACGATAATTAGCACACGGACACGCTTTCGAACGTCATTCGCCATCGTAAAAACTGCAACGTAGCCAATGTTTCTTTTACATGAAAATTTGGCAATCAATCTTGCACCGTTATTTGATTAACGAATATTGGCAAATTTGTGCACAGCTAGTGGAAGCAGTCGCTGCAGGCCGCTGTACGATGCATATTTATGAAATAAATTCAACTCCGATATCTGGTAGTCGATACATCGTTTTTATTTCTGCATTCGCTATTATAATATACTTTGACTTTTGCATTTTTCATTTCGTGTAACTGGTTAAAAATTATATGAATTTCTCTGCTCCTACTTTACACAAGTTTTGAAATTTTCGGAGATAATATTATAAAATATAAGGCACTGAAATTATGCCCTCATGTCCAGCACGTTTCGCTTTCATAGCACAAATAGACCCTAAAAAATGTGTAACATCTCGGACCCCTCGAAGGCTAACTCTATCAGTGTTAACAAAGGAATCTTGATGCGCCTCGACGCGTCAAACACCGAGCTGTCTAAAGCCAAGAGCATCTTACGATGCCACAATAATCTGGGGCAAGCTTATCGCAGGTGCACAGCGTTTCTGATTTCGTTACGAAAAAAAAATTGGAAAGGTTTCATCGAGCGAAAGATACCGGTGCCTCTGTTTACCGAGCCAGAAAGATAGCTGATAAAAATCGACTAATTAGCAGGTATAATAAAAGAAGAAGCAGTAAGAACGTAGAGAAGGTCCACGCATGCGCGAATAGCAGAGCGCGTGCATACATATCGTTTTGCAAAGATTTGCAAAGAAGAATAAAGCAATAGAAGGATTTATACCGGGTCTCCGATCATATGACTCGGAAAGTGCGTTCTATCAAAAGCTGCGATTTTCGATGTTTCGTAGATGACCCGTAAATATGATCGGCAAGTACAAGTAAAGTTGTGTCGTATCGAATTATTGCGACAGGATATCTCGCAGGAATCCTGGGCTCGGTTAACGGTGGGCAAAAGAATCGGAGCAGAGGGCTGTGCCTGATCTCTCGTGGTTGTTCCCCTCTCGGGGCGGTTCGCCTAGCGAGGTGCAGAGAGATCGGTTTTGCGTCGGCGCGGTTCCCGAGCTCGCAACGTTGCCGGCTTTTCGAGTCGACGGCCACCACGAGGAGAAGCCAACTCGGCTCGAGCGGATCTCGCAGTTAGTTTTTGTCTTTGACACGCGACGGACGACGTTGTCGCGTCGCGATGCACGAGTGTGTCATGTGACACGCGAAATAGGAGGAGAGAGTAACACCGTCTGTGTCGTTGCGGCACGATTGACAGGGCCGCGGCCGTTTACAAAAGGAGAGACGACTCGCGCGAAAACGAAAGGGGAAATAAACGCGGGACTGAGTGTGTGCGTGCGTGCATGGGTGATTGGATGCGTGCGTGTCGTTTGTATGCGTTACATTCATTTCTATGCGTCTGGCGCGCGCGAGTGCTCGTACCGGTTGTTACCGTGCGCGGCGGTCGTTCTATGCTGGCGGATTTCCTACCCGTCCAATTTCGGGACTCTGTAAGTCGTTTCGTCGGAGCGCGCACAATTATGTTACCGGCTCGACACGGCAATAGCAGCAACACC